AGGGGGCTGCAATGGGAGCGGCCTTGCTGCCATTGCAGCAGCTGCAAGTGTAGTAAAAAGAGTTAGGAGTAGAGTAGAGAGAATTGATCTTTCTCTTTCATGTATTTGTTTTGTATTCTTTCTCTAATATCTAATAATATAGACTCTCTCCCGTGAATATAGGCAGTTTTGTCGAATCATGTAAATACCATGTCTCAGTATGCTTTGCCTCCTATAAATAAATATCAATACATCATCGGTCAGAATTTCCCAACAGTACAATGCTCTCATCAAAAGTAACAGTCCCTCCGCTAAGTCGCCACAGAAGAAGAAAGTGAAGGAGGGAAAGTTTCCTGACGAGAATTACCGACCGTTCAGAACCCATTGGTTTCAAAAGTTTGAACATGACACCACGCCTCTAAGAAGCGTTTCTCGTGGTGTGTATGTGTATGTGTATGCTACTGCTTGTGCGCTTGTATTTATATTAACACATGGATAAAAACATTCCTGCACAAGAGACAAACTAACTTCCAATTGTAAAATAATAAAAAGTCATCATTAAGCCTGTTTTTGGTCGTTCTCGTTCTCAGTAAATACCAGGAAAAGTAAAAATACTTTCTAAGAATATTAAATTTATTTTTTAATATTTTAATTGTTATATATCTTAATTTTAGTTTTTATTTATTTTTCTTATATTTTTTTTAATTAAAGTTTATTAAATATCAGATTTAGTTTTTATTTTTTTATTATTATTTATTTTATTTAAAATAATTTATAAAATTTAATTTTTTTAATTTTATTATCTTTTAACTTTTTTATTTATCAGATTTAATCTATATTCTTTTAATAAACTTGAAAAGAAAATTAAAATATTAATAAATTATTTTTCAAAACATCTAAAAAATATTTTTTAATTTATTTTTTTATAATACTATTAAATATTAAAAATAATTTCTAAAATTTTACAGCATGTACAAACAACTTTTCAAAAAACATTATTGTATTGTATTGCGACTAAAGAAGAAGACTTTTCTTCGAAAGTTAAAGCACTGAAAGTTGCTAAAGAAGTGTCAAAATAAGCTGCAATTCCCAACATTGATAAAATTATTATTAAATCCCACTAAG